AATATTTGGGGGACTATATAATATATGTGTATGAAGAAGGCAAAGAAGATTGAGAAATAATCAAAGTTCAAGCCTGAGAAGTTTACTCATTGAGTGAGAGCAAAGTCACGAGCTAAAGCCAAAGAAAAATCTTATCATAGTTAGGGTAAAGGCAATGTACTGAAAAATGTTATAAGTAAAAACCTTGTATTCATTTTCTTTTTTGAAATCTGTTATAAGGAAAACAGTTGCGAGAAAGTTATAGAAGTAATTCAAATACATGTAAAGTGTTATTTAAAACTTGACAAAGTTCAAATAAAAACTTGTCGAAGTTATTCCAAAAAACATGTATATTCCTAATTCTTTTATCGTATATTAACATCATTATGAAGTTGAGAAGTTTTCTTCATTAAGTGTCGAATATAAAAGGGCTCTCTTTTATAAAATTCATGATTAATTCAAGTATTCATGAAGTTAACATAAGCATTTTTGAAGAATAAAAATGCAAATTATTCAGTAAATCCTTAAAAATAAAGGCAATAATAAACAAAGCAGAAGTTCAAACAGCAACAGAAACTTCTTAATATTAAAGAGTTTAGACTAAGTATGAATTTAATCATAAACCAAAAGTTGTTTATACAAAGTGCCCCATAAAAGGATTGGGGACTTAATGTTTCTAACAAACCCTTAAAAAGATTAAGGGTCACAATCACGAACCACCAAAAAGAAAAAAAAGGAATTCAAACAACATAAACTTTTCACTGAGAAGATGAAGGGACTGAAGCACTCATCAGCAACAACGGGCTCAATTTGACTCGAAGGAGTGGGGATACCCGTATTATCTTCAACATTTTCAGAAACTTCAGCCACGGGAGAAGAAAAATCTTGGTTCTGCTGAGTCTTCTCAATAGTCTCTTTGATCTTGGCTAACTCAGATTCCAAGTTAAAATTTTCCTGGCTAACTTCAACGAGGGTATCATGGCGAGAATTTAAAAATGCCCAACTCACTTCAATGACAGTTTTATCATCAAGGATCTCGTAATCTCTTTCTCAATCAACAATTTCATTTCTTAACTTTTCATTTTCAGCCAAGGCAGATCCATAAGAACTTTGAAGAGAAGCGTGAGAACTCTCTAAAGAGCAAACCTTATCAGAAGATACCCGGAGGTCTTCTTGAGTTTGAGTCAAATTCTGCACGAGTTCACCAACATATGCTTCTTTTTCACTCAAGAGAGCTCTCAACTCTCTAATCTCTTCACTTGCCTTGGACAATTGCTCGGAAAAAGAGGTTTCCAGACGAGCCTTTTCCTTACTTGCTTGATTTGAAGAAGCTTTTTCAACTGCCGATTCTGAAGTCAAAGCCCGTACCTGCTGCTCTAAGGTACTTTTACTTTTTTCTAAAGTTTCCATGTCAATCTGAAGACTTTCACACTGTTTCTTCCAATTATCTGCCCTCCACTTGGTAGTCACACACTAATTGCTCTGAGAGGGTAACTCTTTTCATCATCTTCGTGCCAATTAGATTGACCTAGAAAAAAGAGAGGGGAAAAATAAGAATCCTGAAGATAGAAAAATGACAAAGTAAAACTTGAAAAAGGAATACCTTTAAAGAAACATGCACTATATCATTCATCAAGGTCACAGAATTATGACTATCAAGCTTAGCTCTCTCAACTAGACCAATCAAAGGCTTTAGCCACACGTCAGCTTGACCTGATTTCCTTAAAAGGTTACCCCTTAACAGGGACTTCAATGATAACTCGCCTCATAGCATCATTCCTACTTAAAGAACCAACCTCTGTGTAAGGAGCAGTTGAAGGAGGAGGAGTCGAGGGTGGAATTGTGGAAACAGTCATAATAGCCTAGGGAGGAACGGCAACAGCCACGACCGGCAAAGGAGGAATCACAGGAACGGGAGTAGAAAAAGAAGCAAGAGGTGCTTCATCAGAAATCAGACCTAAATTTTCACCATCAAACCCGCGGTTAAAAAGTTGCTCAATTGAATCATGAGCAGCAACGGGGACTTCATCATCAGGAATTATCACCGAGGCTTCAATAAACTCGGTAAGAGGAATAGAATGAGGGGGGATACTTCATCATCAGAAATGATTCGCCTACGAGCTCGTGGTCTTTTTACTAAGGAACCCCCATCTTCCTCTTCTTCAAAATCTTGGTCATTAGCAGCTTTCCTTTTCGATGAAGAACCCAAGATTATCTCTTGGGCTCTTTCCAAAGAAATGCGGCAAGCCACGACCGCCTCGGCACTAATCCCTCGAACAACAAATCCTGATAAAAAGAAGGATTAAAATAAGTTTTGGGAAAAACAATAAAAAGTTAAATAAAAAAACTCTTACCATGAGTTTTCACTTTCTAACCAAATCGTTGGGAAAGATGCTTCTAAGATCTACCCTCCATTGGGGCTGTATTCAGTAACCTTCCTACCCAACCACAAAAATTGGGAATTTCTTCAACAATTCCCATGGTTGCTAAAATGAAAAAGGAAAATGAGAATAGAGATCATCAAAATTGAAGAAAAAGGTACGAGAAAGTTATTAAAAAAGAAAAATCACGTGCAAAATTCCACTTCTCGGGGAAGGGGACATTTTCATCACCCACTAAACCCACGGTAGGGGAAGCAACAAACCTGGCGTACCAGCCACGGTCTCTGTCATCTTCTGGACTAACCAGAACTCTTTTGCTCCTAGCTACTAAAGTAAAAACGCCTTGGCGGAAAAGTCTGGGAGAGTAAAGATGAACTAAATGAGCAAAAGTGAAAGGCACACTGGCCATGTTTGTCAAATGCCTCAAACAAGCAACAACCCCTCACATTATAGGGCCAATTTGGCTTAAGCAAACATCGAAAAAATGACAGAATTCAAGAATAACAGATCAATAGCAGGTTTGAATCCTAATGTGAAAGGGTATGTATAAACAAAGGAAAATCCAATTAAATAAGAGATGATTCTTTGATTCACGTTGGGAATTCTGACAGAGAAGTCATGACTCCAATGACAGTCTTTACGAACTAAAGAAATCAGACCCTCTATAATCTGAGTTGGATAGATATCAGCACGATCTAAAGAGGATACTTGATTTCTAAGGGACTCCTTGTCATTGTAGAAAGATAGTTCCACATGAACTATTTCTTCTACTGTAGGTTCACGAACAGGTTCAGCGGGTTCCTTACCCCTGAAAGAAGATCTTTGTGAGAAAGAACCTCTGGTTCTAAAGGAAGGACTGGAACTAGATGAAAGAAGAGAAGAACTACGTACAGAAGAAGACCCTAAATTACGAAGTCTACCTCCTCTTCTACTCCTGCTAGGGGCAAGAGGGAAGTTATCAACTATGTGGACTCTTCTAGGGTTAGAGTTTGGTGAAGACAAGATAGTACGAGGAAGAAGCAAATAAAAATTCAAGAATTGAATACTCGGAGAACTTTATGTGATAAGGATAAAGACGAAAACTATGTTTATACTAGGAAGCAACCGTCAAAGGAAAAGGTGCAATGATGAAAAGGTCATAATGAGAACTGTCGCTTCGTGATTAGTGAAGCCGTAAAAAAGCCCTAAAAAGTGCTGCAAAGTTGCAGAGCTAATAAAAGGGTGCCACGTGTGATAAGCATTAAATGAAAGTGACAATTGAAGCGTCGATTTTATCGTAGCATTAATAGCAGCAACATTCCCGCTTTAATAAAATTCACTTCCCAAATATTCAATTGATGAATAAATGGTAAGTGGGGGGACTATCTGTATTGGAAAAATCGAGTTTACATATTAAAGTGATTGGAAGATGACGTGTCATGACACGAAGGCTGATCAAAGAGTGATGATTGACAAAGAGGCACGAGTGGCGATAGATACGAGCAGAAGGTACAAGTAGAGGCACGAACAATTATTCAAAAGACTCAACGCTCGTACCTATTTATACTCAAAAATCAAGGGTAATGAATCTGACAGCATAAGAGAGTACAAATACAGTATTTAATAAGCAGTAAATACTAAAAACATTATAGAATCTGTATTAAATTACAATGAATATGTAACGTAGCATTTAATACCTTTAATTGTCTATAGTGGCCTAATTATAACAAAGACAAAACATATATCTTTAAGATAGCTATAAAAAGGAGAGAAGTGATCATTTGTAAGGACATGAAAGATCATCTGAATATACTGGTTTACTTTGTTTTCTTCTGTCTATCTTATTGTTAGCAATATCACTTTCCTTTATTCAGTTTTGATTATCAGTAACCCGTGTTCTTCTAAATTAAAGCTTTGACTGAAATTTCACTTTTTGGTTAAACAATATGCAAGTACTTGTCGGTTTTCTTTATTACTTTATTCTAATTAAATTTTGTATTATTGAACGGCACACATGAAGAACTATAGAAAAATATCCTCTTTATAAAGATCCGTTTAAATTACTGTACAAATATTTAGACACTATTCTGGACTCTAACAGTCTTATTGAAATAAGGGTAAAGGTATTTTTGTTAATAAAGATATTGAAATTATATTAAAATTGAATGTGCAAGAGTTATCTTAAAATTTGAATTTTCTTGTTCTGCTTAGAAAAAATAAGCTAACCCAAAAGCAGAAAATTTGGTCAAATAAACTACTTATAAAATTTAATTTAAAATATTAAAATTTAACAAAAGTTTCTAAATATTCTTTAAAAAAAAATCCTGAAACAGACCCAAAAAAGGAAAGAGTTTATTTCAGCTATAGTGTTATATGGACCTTATAATTGATGTCTTACTTCCCCTTTTGGCGTTTGGTGTCTACCTTCTCCAAATCCTACCACAATTTGGTGTAGGAATGGCAGTCACTACTATAAATATTTGTTTATTCTGTGGCATTGTGGATTTTGTTGGAGAATTTCATTCGGGGTCGGAGTTAAGATTTGAACTTTATGAGTTTTGAATTATACTCCTTTTAAGTTACTAGATTCATTAAATTTCTTAAGTTACTGAGTTTAGTTGAACTCGCAACGAACACCGCCCCTGATTCCATCAAAGTCATATGGAGGATACAAGAGACCGAATTTCCCAACTGCCAGAGCCAATTTTGCAACACATCTTGTCTTTCCTTGTTGTTAAAGATGCTGCAAGAATGTCTACACTGTCCAAGATTTGGAACAGTGAATGGAATTCACTCTCCTACTTAGATTTTGGTGAAGGTTTTTTCTATGGGCCACAGGACATGCGAAATCTCTTGAAAGCTGTGACTCAAATTCTAGTAATTCGGCTAAAGCACAAGATTTATGTGGAAAAGTTTTGGCTGCGATTACCCAATTTGCGTCGGAGGTTTTATTATTTTCACAAGTGGATTAAATTACTCGTAGCTTCTAATGTCAAAGAGTTTGATCTATGTGTAGGCAGANGACATCGGTTGCTTAGCCTTACGTTGCCCTTCCAAAGATTATCAGGAAGGCGTTGCGTAACAGTATTTATGATGGAAAACAGTTACACAATAAGTTGCCTGAGGTAATCTTTGATGCCAAAGCACTAAATGTGCTTACTTTGGTTGGATTTAAGATTGAATTACCCTCTCATGGTACTGTAAAGTTATCTTCTTTGCGAGAATTGCACCTCCGTTATGTAATTTTGGACGACAAATTTATGCATAAGCTGCCACAATTTAGAGTTTTTGTATTTGACGTGGTTTAATGGACTTTCCAGTTTTCAAGTTGGTGAAAAGAGTTTACCTAAACTAAAGAAAGTAAAGCTGGAAAATTGCCCTACTTCCAGATTGTTGATATTGCATCAATTAGTCTTGAAGACTTTACTATCAAAAGTAATTGGGATTTAAATTTTGTTAATATAACTTCTTGCAAAGCTCTCAAGAGTTTGTGCCTCAATGGTGTAGCCATGACCGATAAATGGTTAGAAAACTTCTTTTCAGCCTACAAAATCTTGAATTTTTTTACTTATCCTGTTGCAATACATTGACGACAATGAAGATCTCAAGCTACAGGCTCAAACAGCTTATCGTATTTGGTTGTCCTAATCTGGTTGATGCTCAAGTATATACTCCTAATTTGATACTATTCTCATATGGTTGTTGTTCATTGCCAACATTGAAACTAAAAGCTTCAGATTCATTAAAAGCCAATATCTCCTTTGACTCATTAGAAACTCCTGGCAGTGATTGGTACAACTCTACGCTCACAAATCTTCTTGGTAGCTTCAATCATTCCTTAGATATTAAATTATCAAGCAAAAAGGATGAGGTATGTTCCGCAAATTCTTTAGCTACATTGCTTCAAGAAGATAGTAGTAGTAGTGTTATTGATTTCTCATAAATTGTTTTATTTTTGGCTGTTACAGATGATAGTTATACCACAAGACATGAGAGTAAACTTGCTTCCTCCACTTTATGCTAATAATAATTTGCACGTAATATTGAAAAACGATGGAAGCATTCAGTTGTGGACGTTGTTGATAGTTTGCTTTGGATTTCTCCTCAACTGGACACCATATCTTTTAGCGAGGCTCGAGTCTTAAAGACCCTGAAGGTAATATGCTCACTGACTTTGTAAAAGAACAAAATTTGCTTAGTTGTTTCTAAGGTTTTGTTGCTCCTTTGTGTTTTCCTGGTTTTACAGTTTATACATGAAGATGCATCAAATGAAGATGAGAAGTCTTGTTGTGCATCGCTACCTTGGAAATGTTGGAGGCATAAGTTAAAGCAAGTGAAGATGCAAAACTTTTTCATGTATGGAGCAGCAGGAGTTGAGAGACTATTTTTTCACAAATGCAGATATCTTGGAGATAACTGACGTTCACTCAGAATGAGTCGAGTCCAAGATTTTATTTCAATAAATATATGTACCTTACATAGAAGCTCCCATGGGTTCTTCAGTGTGGTTGTGTCTAGTCTTATCTTTTCAAATTAATTTTATATCTAAGGATGAAACTCTATATCTCATAGCATGAATAGCCGTTCACTTCATTCGACAGCTCTCTCAGACCATTTCACATTTAAAAATGTATTTCACATGCTTCTCTGTAGTTTCACTCAGAGCAAGCCCGCATTTATTCTGCACGATTACTACCATTTTATGTTTCCTTTGCTGTGAGTGTAACTCCTCCTTGTTCTGCACTCTATCTCTTTAATAAGATACCAGTCTCCGTGAATGTGCAGTGCATCAAGAGCCTCATGGAAGGTTTTTTTAATGGACCTTCATGACTTTAGGTAGCAGCAACACCTCCTTATCTAATGCTAGCATATGTGAACTTCTTTCTTGGTGGTGATGAAAAGCGAAGCGTTCTTCCTTCTCTTCACCAGAGATTTCTGATGTCTCTGCTATTTCGTGGTGGTGGAAGCAATGGCGGATGCAGGATTACCGCCAAAGGGGGTCAAAAAAATAAAAAAGTTAAAAAGGTTTTAACTTGTGGTAATAGAATCAATGACCTTGCAAAGATTTTGAACTCCTTGACCACTAAGCTATGCTTTTGGGCTGTGTCAAGGGAATTCAAAAGATAATATATAGAGGTAAAAAACAAATTTTGTCGTAATTTTTCGATGAAGGGGATTTGGGTGAACACCAGGGCAGAAGATCATGATGGAGGCTCCAAAAGTGAAAAACTCAAGCTATAGTGTGCAGTTATAGTATGTGTTCCTTCATCGAGATGGTTAATTGACAGTTTTCTGATTATGCTCTATTAGACTACTATTACTCTGTTTGATGTTTTATACTTCAATACCACACAAGAGAGTGATTTGTGTAGTGTCAAATTTTCGCGTGCAGTGATTTGGTTCTTCTATGCGTTCCTTACACTACTGTTGCGGAATAAATAGAGCAGAAAGTAAAGAACACATGTATTTTTACGTGGAAAACACCTAGCTCAAAAAGTGAAAAAACCACGATCTACTTCCCAGTATGATTTTTCTCTAACACTTCACTAAAATTCTGAGCTAAACAACAATGTTTACAAAACTCTTGTAATCCTAAGGATTACGTCTAACCCTTGTAGTAACCAGCCACAGGCTGTTGCGACAGCTTCAAGTTAACTCTAACTTGAACAATACAACACTAATACCTAATACAATTTGCTTCTAGGAAAGCTGAAAGGTACAACTCAAAAGCTCTACTACAATTGAACTCGAATAAAAGATAGACACATGGAACTAGATCTTCTATCTGGTTCATGTAGCTCCAAGTTCGCATGCTTGAAACACATAGGAATTACTTGCAAAATGCCTTGGTATTTTGCTCTCACTTCTTGCTTAACTTCAGCATGTGTGCGTCATCTGTAAAAGATAACACAACTGAAATATATAGAGTTAGTAGGATAAGGATTAATTAGAATTCTAATGCTTTACTCCCTTGGTGGAAGAGTTCTAGTTAACTTCAATCTTTAACTTTTTTCTTATCTACGATAGAGTTCTCTTCAAGTAAGGAGTCATGCTCCTTATCTATTATGCAGCCTTTTCGTTCAGGGAGATAACCACTTATGCATGTCCCTTGCACATGTATGGCTTTTGCTTAAATTTGACCGTGACCTATGTACATTGTTCATGGACCTGGTTCATGCATGTGTTCATTTGTCAATCATCAAAATCAAAATCACTCAGGTCAACAAATTTCCCTTTTTTTATGATGACAAACTCTATGCTTTTCAGAAGTATGAGACCTGTTTCAATTAAGCTCAACATCAACACAATGTTAGAATACTTTCCATTTAAAGTCATAAATCATCAAGGACCAAGTTCATTAGGTTATTGTATTGGGAAAAAATTGAGTTTATATTAAAGATGATGTGGCATGACACGTGGATTAGTTAAATGGTCAAAGCGCAGCAATTGACTAAGAGGCACGGATGGAGACAGCCACGGGAAGAAGAATTTAAATAGGCACGAGACGACGTATAGATACGAGTCTCGTACCAATTTAAATTATTTACAGCCAACGGATTAGAAGGCATTGAAGACAAAGATCTGATGACAGAAAGGAGTCCAAATTCATTATTAAATACTTGATACGTTACAAAATTGGTATTTAATAGGAATGATTATATAACGGCTTATTTAATGTTATTTATTACTCATGATTATATCATTAAAGCCGAGGCTTCATTCCTTTACCTAGAATTATCTATAAAAGGAATAAGTATCATCATTTGTAAGGACACAGAATACTATTGAGAATTTATTGAAATACACATCTATTTGTTTTTTTTACCATCATTCTCAAAAGTATTTTATTTTTGTCCCCTGATTATCAGTAACCCGAATTTCTTTTTAGCTTTGACCAAAGACTCAGATTTTTGGTTAAACAAATTGGTTCCGTTACCGGGAATCTGATAATCTTTCCTTTTAAGCTATATCTTATCTATTGTCGTCACCATGTCAAACAAAAATGCCGACAACAATAGTAATAACACATTGGGAAACCATGAGAATCAAATACATCAAAATCAAGATGACGTGGTTCCCTATCCTCTAAATTCACCACGTCAATCTC